AGGAGATGACTGTTGCCACCTAGTGAATTGACCATCATAAAGATAATACCCAAAGCGGGGCACGGTGGCTCATGTCTATAATCCTAGCACTTGGGAGGGTGAGGCAGGTGGAGCTCTGAAGTTTGAGACCAGCCTGAGCAAGAGCAAGACCCTATGTCTACTAAAAATAGAAAAACTATTAGGCTTTGTGGTGGGTACCTATAGTCCCTCCCTACTTGGGAGGCTGAGGCCAGAGGATTTCTTGAGCCCAGGAGTTTGAGGTTGCTGTGAACTGTGACACCATGACTCTACTCAGGGAGACAGACAGAGTGAGACTCTGTTTAAAAAAAAAAGATACTATCCAAGAAGAAATAAAGGCAAAAAGACTGCGTGCCCAAGTGTCAGCTGCCAGCCATGGTTCCTTTTATTCTCCTCTTTTTGGTCCCCCACCCTGCCCTGTAACCCTGCGCTCCCTGGCCTCTCCGGCTCTGTTCTCTCTGACTCGCCGCCTCCTGCCTCCCTGCCCACCTTTTCTATCAGCTGCTCCGTGAGTTCTGCCCAGAGGCCCTGCCCTCCTCAGCCCCCTCTTTTTTCTTTCAAATATTTAAAAATAATTTTAATTGTGGGTAAAAGATAAATAGCAAAATTTACCATTTTAACCATTTTTAAGTGTATAGCTCAGCAGTGTCAAGTACATTCATATTATTGTGCAACCAATCTCTGGAGTTCACTTTATTTTGCAGAACTGAAACTCTATCCCCATCAAACAGCTCCGCACCCTTCCTCCCCCCAGCTCCTGGCAGCCCCCATTCTACTTTCTGTTTCTGTAACTTTGACCACGCTAAGTACCTCGTGTAAGTGAACTCTTACAGAATTTGTCTATTTTGTGACTGGCTTATTTCACTTAGCATCATGTCGCCAAGGTGCATCCATATTGTAGCATGACATATCATATTTTCTTTTTGAGGCTGAATAACATCCCGTGTGTGTGTGCGCGCGTGTGTTTAACCTTAAGTTCATCCACTGATGGACAGTTTGGGTTTCTTCTATCTTTTGACTATTGAGAGTAATACTGCTATGAAGGTAAGTGTACAGATACCCCCTTTGAGATCTTGCCTTCATTTCTTTGGGATATATACCCAGAAGCAGAATCTAGCAGGATCGTTTGATAATTTTTTTTTTTTTTGAGACAGAGTCTCACTCTGTTACTTGGGCTAGGGTGCCTTGTCATCAGCCAAGTTCACAGCAGCCTCAAGCTCTTGGGCTCGAGCACTCAATCCTCTGGCCTCAGCTACCCAAGTATCTGTGACTATAGGTGCTTACCACAACACCCAGATAATTTTTTCTGTTTTTACTAGAGACCATGGTCTTGCCCTTGCTCAGGCTGGTCTTGAACCCCTGAGCTCAAACAGTCCTCCCACCTCAGCCTCCCAGAGTGCCAGGATTATAGGCATAAGCCACTGCACCAGGCTCATATGATAATTTTTTTAAAAATTGTTTTTCCAGGAGCCTCCATACTGTTTTGCACAGCGGCAGCGCCATTTTGCATTCCCACCAACAGTGCACAAAAGTTCCAGTTTCCCCACATTCTTGGAAACACTTGTTATTTTCTGTTTTCAGCCCTCCTCGTGGGTGTGAGGTGCTATCTCACTGAGTTTTGATTTTTCACATCCCTACTGACTGGTGATTTGAGCATCTTTTCATGCCCTTGTTGGCCATGTGTAAATCTTCTCTGGAGAAATGTCTGTTCAAGTCCATTGCTTCTTATTTCATTGGGTTGCTAGGGTTTTGTTTGTTGACTTGTCTCAGCCTCCTTCAGGGAGGTTTCACCCTGCCCCTGGCTTCAGCTCCTTCCCCATCTCTGGTGTGTGGACCTGCCATTTATCCTGAGCCCTTTGGTGGCACTCTTGCCCCCCTAGTCACCCAGACTAGAAATTCCAGGCTCCTCTCTGGCCGTTATTTATTTCTTATTTCTGTATCTTATTTCTCCTGGGCCATTAGTTGCCAAATCCATCAGTTCTGTCTCCTCCATCCTCTCCCATCTAGTATGGGAGCCATCGTGTGGCTCTCTAGGCAGTGCGATTGTGCCATTGTCTAGTTTGGAGTTGACTCCTCTCTGATGAGTGGTGAAACCTCAGGGTGTGGATGTGGTGGCATGGGTAAAGGATGGCAAAAAGTATGAAGGATCATAGTTGATACAACATTTTATATTTGGTAAATGAAGAAGAAACCTTTTTTATACTTACATGGAATAAAGCTTGACTTGAGGCACCTTGAGGCAAGATTTGCCCTTAAGCCCTGAGCACGCTGGTATTCCTCAGTGCCAAGTCAAGAGTCAATACTCTTAACTCAAGGGGTTGGACAAATGATAGATTATCTTTTGTGAGCAGGAGTTTACAACATTGATGCCAAAAGGAAGTAACAAACCTTTATTGAGTGCTTAATATATGCCAGATACCAAGTACTCATCATGCGTTATTATCTCATTCAACCCCATCACAGCCTTATGAGGCGAAGAGTCTTATTATCCAAAGAAGCTGAGGCAGAGAGGCCCCAAGTTGCACTTCTGGTAGATGGAAGACGGCCTGCTGCTGTCTGCTGCTGAGGCTTCAGAAAATCTGGCCTTCCAGAAGGGCCTCAGGCTCCTCATCCTCTACCCACTGCCCCCTGGTTTTGACTGCTCCAGTCTCTCTCTACACCTTCGTAGGCACCTTGGCCTGTGAGTGATTCCCAAGGTCGTGGGTCCAGGCGTCCTGTGCATGGACTTGCACGGACTGGCTCTCTGGAGTGCCCCCTCCACCGCCATGTCCCACTTGGGTCATCCTTACAGAGTCACCTCAGTGCCATTTCCTCCATAAAGACTAATCCTGCCCCAGTCAGATGTCCCATGGGGCATCTCACCTCTGTGTCTAGACTTGTTCCTCTTCCTTACCAGCTAGGACTGTGGGCACCTTGAGGCAAGATTTGCCCTTAAGCCTTGAGCACGCTGATATTCCTCAGTGCCAAAACAATAAGCCAGCTATTTCCCAGACAGAGACTCAGGTAGTCATAAAATCCAGAGCCATAGTTTTGACTCTTAATTTTTGTGAGTCAGTCGAATACCCGTCCCCAGAACAGAACCCAGGAAACTTTCCTCCATAAGAAGTTTCTGGATCAGAGATTCCAGCCTGCCTCTTCTGCTGCACCCCAGGGAGGTTCTCTTTGCAGAGCTTCACTGTTTCTCCTCACAGTAGAACTTTTGTTCAGCAAAGGGAAAGTTGCTAGTGGGTGCTCTCACCAGATGCTGACGTGCACAGAGCCCAGGAAGAGGGTCAAGGAGCAGGCCCGTGCCTGCAGGGAGGTGCTGCCGGCCAGGTGCTGCGCCTATTGGTTGAGGCTGATACCTCCATTAGTGAGTGGCCTCGGGGAGGGGAGGACGGGGCACCCTGGTTTTAACTTCCATGTCTCCTGAGGTAACCAACCGTAAGGGTGAGTCGGCAGGGAAAGGCAAAAGTGACTTCAGGCATTGCATCAGAAGAAAGTCAGTCTTTTATTGCTCTTCCACAAGTTTAAGTGGTTTAAAAGAAGGCTGATTTTCCTCTCTTAACAGAAAATGTCCTTTAAGTTGCCTAGGATGTCTCATGATAATCTTTCTCTCCAAATCATTCTTGTCTTTTCCAAGTTTTGTTCTCTTGCCAGGCATGTTTGAATCCTCTCATGTTGGCCGTGTCCTTTCCTCCTGTACCCATGCTCTGCAGCCATCTCCAGGTGGCCTCATGGTAGATGGCCAAGTGTCTGGAAGGTGTTGGGCTCCCTCAGGCCTAGCTTTACCACACTAGTGTCCTTGCCCATAAAGCTGGGGTGTAAAACTTCCCTGTCTGGTGGAGACTGACTCCTGATGGTGACCCATAGTTGGAGACTCTTGGGTTCATGGGCCCCAGCACACAAACATAACAAGACCTCGCTCTTTGTTTGGAAGCATTTGGCGGTGGTGTTTGACCCAGCTTTGGGCATGTTGACTCGTTGGCCCAGTGGGACACTTGAGTTAGGAGAGAGAAGCTGGCTTTGTGGAACCTTGGGGTCCTCTCCAGCTGTGCGGGACGGCTAAAACTCACCGAAGCAAAGTGAAAGTTGTGAAATTCAAGTAGTTCCCTTTTGAGAAAGTCTTCTGAACGTCTTTAAGCTTGAGGTAGCCTGCTATGTTTTCCTTCTTGTATTTCAGATTCTTTTGACACACACATGTGACTTTCCCTCCATTTTCTCAGACTTGTCTAACTATGACTCTTCATTTTTGGTTGTCTATCTGGAAAAGCATGGTCAAGTTTCTATAATATAGGGTAAAAGGAGAAAATTGGCCAGTGGTCTTATTATTGCAATTAATTCTTTGATTAATGAGAAAAAGCTTTGTCAAATGTCACAAGTAATGGAATAGTTCACATGATCTGGGAAAACCTTCTTTTCTAGTCCTGATATGGGACGTATGAGAACAGCAGGACAATACCAAATACTACTGTGTATTTGCAAAGTCTGCACAAAGTATGGATGGGCTAAATCCTAAAAGGAACCAAACACATATGACTCTGAATCAATGTTTCTTCTTCCTGTGTATAAACAGGGAGGTGTTTTCCCCAGGAGTCTTATTGTGCTTGGATGGTTTTGAAGATTTGGATTAGCGTCACCCTTTTCGGGGGCCTCCTTAGACTTGAAAACTCAAGGCTCTGCTTTCAAATAGATGCTCGAGAGGAAGGAGCATGTGGATGGCATTTTAACATACAGTAGAACCTCTGCAAGTTCATAACCCAAGGGACTGTAATAAACTGGCCGGCATAGGGAGGTGGTCAACATAAGGAACTTCCATTGAGCACACAAGGTGCCTGACTAGTCTATGAAAATACGGTCAATTCAAGGAGGGTCAGTGTAGGGATCAACTGTGGAGGTTCTACTGCCGTACTTTGCCCTTGACAGATGTGTGAGCAGAGGAGCTTGAGGCAGGAGGTGCCACTTACGTGTGCGAAGCACCCACGTGTGCCTCCTCTTCCCAGGTGCCCGCAGATGTTGAGAAGTGTCAGGATCGGATGGAGTGTTTCAACGCGGATCTGAAAGCTGACATGGAGAGGTGGCAGAACAACAAGAGGCAGGACTTCCGGCAGCTGCTCATGGGGATGGCCGACAAGAACATCCAGTATTATGAGAAGGTAATGAGTGTGCCCGACAGGACTGCCGTTTCTGCTAGTCCGGGCTGTTCACGAGGCCCTGCCAGAAAATTCAGACACAGAGATCCCACCGGTATCCTCCTCTTCCCTTGTTTCGTCTTACTGTTAGCTGCCCCCAGGCCCTCACCCCGCCCTGCAGGCTGTGGTGCCCAGTCTGGAAGCAGAGGCCCCAGGGATGTCAGAGTTCCCCTGCAGCTGCCGCAGCAGTTTTATCTTCCAGGCCCTTTGGGCCAGGTGCCGAGTTGCTTCTCAGAGTCATCAGACCGTCAGCACAGGGGTACTGTCAGTTCACAGAGGCTTTGGGGTTATTTTACACTGTCTAGTGGCTTCTACACAGGGGTTCTTCACTTTCCTGTGCCATAGGCGCCTTTGGTCATCTGGTGAAGCCTATAGACCCCTTACCCAAATACTGATTGTTTTAAAAATACTGTTTTTTAAATACCTTAAGTAAAGGCATATAGGATTACAGAGGAAAACAGTTTTATTCATGGATTCCCCTTGATCTGTCGTCCTTAGGGTAAGTACCCCTGATGTGTGTACACAGACACAAATACACACACACGAACACAAACACATAAAGTGACTGTCCATAAACTACAGTCCAGTCTTCCTGGTCAAGGTTCGCTCCTAATATTCAGCTCTATAGCACTTCTGCTAATGAATCCCAATATCCCTTAAAAGTTTGAAGTTAAAGAGGATGAATGGCCCCATCACAATTCAGCAGCTAACTTAGAGACTTGAAACGAAATGGTTGGAAACACAACAGCTTCCCAGCACACTGGACAAGTATTAATCCGGCTGTTCATACCACAATTCTGGAAGCTTGTCCTCACCCCAAACTGGAGGAAGCCATCTCTTTTGAAGGCTTAATGCTTTGGCTACTGTTTAGGGGCAGTGTGTCTGCATCCTTTCAAGTTCATTGGTAGGCGGGCTCAGGAAGCCGTCATAGAATGTTCCTTGTCAGGTCAGACAATTTTAAAGCAGAAGAAGGGCGGTGTGCTCCTTTTCTCACTCGTGTGACTTTATGGAGCCCCAGTGATGCTGGGCTGGCATTGGGCTGGGTGCGTGGTATGTGTCATCTTTATACTGTAGCCCCCACCATAACACTGTCAAGCAGATTTTATGATTCCTAAAGCTTGAAGAAACCTGCCCAAGGTTACACAGCTTGTGAGTGACCCAACTAGATATCAGAGTCAGTTCTGATAGGTCTACAAGTCCAAACGGTTCTGATACACTGTCAGCCTGGGGGGCGAGGAGGGGACGGTCACCTGTTCTCAGGACAGTCCTGCTTGCCCAAAGGTGGGAAGATCACTGCATGTGAAGTCAAAGCCTCTTTTGTTTCCTGACTGATTGGGCCATTAATGAGGTGCCTCTGTGCCTGTTTCTTCATCTATAAAGTGGGAGGGATCCTTCTCCACTGAA